TTTTTCTATCTGTGTTCTGTAATTATTAGAGAACAGATTAGTCCCTCTAGTTCTAGCCTATTATATACTAGACCTTAATTAGTTTCTTTAAAAATTGTAAACTCTTCTATGTTTTTATCTAATTCTTTAAAATAGTTAGAATGTCTGCTAAGGACATCTGCTTATTAGTTGCTGCTTTTAAGGACATGTTTAATAATAAAGTTAAATTATGCTAGCTCTATTACCTATTGTACATGCATTAGAGAGAGTTTCTTTGTTATTAAAAAAGTTATTAAGTTAGCATAGTTAGTATAAATAATAAATTATTATTTAAGCTTTTATAATTTAACTTTTTAATTTCTACAGGCGTTAACTATAGCTTTAAGTTCCTTATTAGAAATAGTATATTTTTGTTCTACAAGGGCAAACTTTGCTAAATAGTATGCTACTAGGTGCTAGTAGCTGTCTTTTTATTTTTGTAGAAAGGCTGCTTCTTTAGCTTGTTTTAAGGCGTTAGTGTGTACCTTAGTTTTAAAAGTTAAGTTATACATTTAAAGAACTAAATAGCTAGTAATAATTTTTTTTAATTTTTTAAAAGATTAATCTATTTCTATTATCTATTAGAACTTATGTAACGCTTTTTTCTTTGTTATAGCGTTAGTAAGTAGGAGCGCTATTTTAGAGTAATCCTTAATTATTCTGCGTACGTAGCCTGTTAGTCTAAGAAATCCCCTAATCTTAGTAATAGATTTAGGTACAGGCTATTTAAGTACTTTAGTAACCTTCTTTAGATCTATTTTTATTTAGTTTTAGTTTATAATAAATCTAAGGTACTTAGTTTCTTATACATTAAATTTGCATTTTTTTAGCTAGAGGTGTAGACTGTATTACCTAAGGCGTTCTAATATAAGTTTTACTTTAGATATGTAATTATTACAGCTTTCCTTTATGTATACTAGTATGTTGTTAAGGTATACAAGTATAAATATGTTAAAGTATAGATTTAAGGCTGTGTTAATAACTCTCTAAAAAGTTGCAGGTGCGTTAGTAAGTCTAAAGAGCATAATAAGTAGTTTATATAGTCCTTTAAAGGTTTAAAAGGCTGTTATCTATTTATGTTCTTATTTAATCTTTATCTTATTAAATCTATCTTAGACATTAAACTTAGTAAAGTGCTTAGTTTCTTTTAGTTAGTTTATAATGTCCTAGATTATTAGAAGGGGGTACTAGTTTTATATAGTGTTATTGTTTAGAGTTTAATAGTTCTAATATACTTTTACTTTACTATTTTTCTTTTTTGTAAAGACTACTGCTAATGCTACTAGGCTGTTACTTTCTTAGATATGTCCTTGTAATAGCATTCTATCTACGTACTCTTGTAGTGCGTCTTTCTAGGCCTTAGTTAATAGTTAGAGTTTATAAGCCTTTAGCTAGGGTTCTAGTTTAAGATTAATAGCGTGATCCTATAGCTAATGCAGGGGTAGTTCTTCTAGGTCTTCTAGGGTTTTAAATATGTCTTTATATTCTTTATATTCTTCTAGTAGGTTTCTTGTTTTATGCGCAATTCTATAGATTCTTATCTAGTTAAGGTCTTATTCTTACTAGAATTTTTTAAAGGACATTTTCTCTAGTTTTTTCTTTATTAAATAGACTGCCTAAGCTTTTAGTTCTTAGTAAAGGAACTTCTTTAGTTTTCTTTTTTTTAGGAAATATCTGCTTCCTTTTTTTGCTTATTAGTAGAAGGTGCATAAGTTATTATAGTAGGCTAACTATGTTATTCTAGCGTAGTTTTCTTTTGTTATAAGAGTTATAGTTTGCTAGTTAATTATTAGGTTATGTCTATAAAGCTAATTATACTTAAGTATTACTTAGTATTTTCTTCTTAGTAGCAAGATGTTAAAGAATATCTAGTTGTTAGTTCCTTTAGCATCTATAGTAAGTTTATAAGTTTTAAGTTGTATCTATCTTACTCTATATTTAATTAATAAGGTGTTTGCTAGAGTTACTTTAAAAGGTTTTTTTTTACTTTTAAAGAGTATTTATTTTTAGTTAACCTAAGTAGAGTTAATTACTATAAAGGTGTAACTGCTGTCTATTAGCGTAAGGCTTGTCTATTCTTGTTCTAGGCAGGAAAGAGTTATTTCTGTAGTTAGGCTTCTGCCTAGTCCTTATCTTACAGTAATAAGAGTACAGAGTTTATAAAGAACTTCTAGATAGTCTATACTATTATTCTCTTTTACTTTAAAAGCTTTTTTTTAGTAGCTTTTAATTTTATTAGCTTATATTTTATATTCTTAATAACCTTATATTATGCATTTTGCTACTGTGCAGTGTTAGTCTTCTATTTTATAGTAATATAGCATTTAGTTATTTTGCTAATAAGCTCTTTACTAAAAATAGTAGAATATGTAATCTGCTTAGCTTTTACATTCTGTCTAGAGTTTTTACTTGTGCTTAGTTCTAATGTTGCAGTAGGCACACTAAGGCATTTTATAAGTTAATGCTATTTTAGGGAGCGTGTTGTCTGCAAGTTTACTTGCCTAAATTCTGTATAGCTACTAGCTAGCTTTATATTTAGTTAGCTAGTGTTTTAGGCAATATTTATTAACACATAGATACTAGTTGTAAGGGCAGTTTCTAAAGTTATTTTAGACTAGTATTAGTTAAACCTGCGTCTATTTTAGGTATTCTTTTGTCTGTACTATTTATAAGGGGTAGCTTTAGTATGTGCATTAGAACTTATTATGTTTTTAGCTTTTACATAAAATGCAATATCTATTTTATTAGCAAGTTTCTAAGTCTTTTTACATAATAGCTAATGCTAGAGGAGGTGTGTTAGCTTTTTAATTGCATAGTTTTAGAGTTATTAGAGGGGTGCATTACTAGTTAGGGCCCTTTTCTTTGTTTAAAATTTTTTAGAACATTTTCTACTGTTTCTTATTATTTAGAATAGTGTAGTAAGTTTTAGTAATTTTTTTAATTATACTATAAGTGTCTGCGTTGTTATTAATGTGTGTTTTATACATTATTTTTTTATAATTTTGTAGGTTATAGGTATTGCTGCATTTCTAGTAATTGCTGTAGTTAAATTAGTATTATAGTTCTTAGGCAAAGATTCTAGTTATTAGCTGCTTTAGGGGAAATAGTTTTTTTCCTTCTCTTACATTTGCAACATATGTTGTTGCTTGTGTGTAGCCTTACTATCTTTTATAGATAGCTGCCTGTTCTAGTGCCTTAAATATGTTATTGTTGTTCTAAACTTTAACCTTCTAGTATTTTATTAGGCATCTGTTAAATTTATAATTACCTTTATATTACTAGCAGAGGTTCTTATTTAGTCTGTCTAGAATTTCTAGTCCTGTTAGACCCTACTCTATATATATTGCTTTTATAGTTAGTCTTTTATCTTTATTCTCTTAGTTAACAGAGTCTAGGCATTCTCTTCTATAATGTTCTACTTTTTTACAGTTAAGGCACACTTTTTCTTTAAGCTATTTCTGTTGTTTAGTACTTAGTAGTGGCTTTTTACTTATTTAGAACTTGCTTTTTTTCTTAGTTAAGCTCTATATATGTTTAGCATAGCTAAGATCTATTAGTTTGCTGTTAAACCTTTAGGTCTTTTTTTTTCTCTAGAATACTTTTAGTTTTTAGGTTGTTATACTAGGGCGTTTTTCTTAAAGACATTCTTAATGCTAATTATTATATGTAGTTGCTTTTTTTATATATTTTTTAAATTTTTCTAGTTTGCTATAATGCATAAATTTGTCTTTAATTGCGTTAGATAGTCTATTATAGAACATTTTTCTAACAGCTACTTTGTTAGTCTATCTGCTAATAGCTAGTTGTTTACAGAAGCGTGCTGCATATAATTAGATAGTGCTTTTTCCTTATTATAAAGTGTTTATTCTGTTAACTGCCTTTTCCTTTTAGTTAGCCTAGCTATAAATTATTGTAAGGGCTTGTTTAAAGGCATTTAAGCTTTAAAAAAATTTTTAAGTGTAAATAAAAAATTTTTTTTAGTTACTTTATGTTTTATTTAATTGTCTGCGTGTAGTTAGAACTAGATAGCTAGGGGTCCTTCTAGGTAGAGCTTTATTTATAAGATTATTTCTTTATCTGTCTAGAAAGCGCCCTTATTATACTACATGTATAAATAGCATTAAGTAAAGAATAGCTTAAGGTCTTTAGCTATGCTGTTAAATAGTTTAAGTAGGGCTAGGTGTAGTAACTTTTTTAACTTAACACTAGTCTTTTTTCTAGTAGCATTGCAGAGCTTAGCAACTTTTAGATAAAGAGTGTGTAGTTATTAGATGTAGAGTTATTATTAAAGCTAGGTTCTAAGTGCTTTAATTTTTTAATAGAGATACTATATTTGCTAACTATGTTCTTTCTTATTCTAAGATAGGGTTTTACTAGTGCTAGCTACACTAGCTTCTATTATGCTAATATTAAGGGAGGTGTGAGGTGCTATACTTTTTAGAGGGGTAGTAATTAATGTTATAATCTTTACTCTAGGGAAATAGTGTTTTCTAGAGTACAACAGCCTATGTAGGTATTAATAAAGGGGGGGTGAGAACTTAGCTAGATTAGGTGTACAGTCTGTTAAGCAGAGTAAAGAATAGTTAGGGTTTTAGAAGGTAGGCTGTAGTTTGTCCCTATAGCTGTATAGGTAGCTAAGTTGTACTAGTTAGGTAGACAAGAGTTAGAGGTATATATGTTATAAGATATATAAGGTAGCTTAATCCTCTTTAGAAAGGATTAAGCTTCTTAGTCTATTATAAAGAATAAACTAAACGTTAATTACAACCTTCTAACTATAGTTAAAATTAAGACTATATACATAATAGTTGCATGCTCTGCATGCTTGCATGCTGTATGCTTGTCTAGCCTGTACAGCCTGCAAGCCTGTAAGGTCTTATTAGACAATGCATTCTGCTAAGCATTTATCTATAAGATAGCGCTATTCCTCCTCTGTTTAGTTGTAAGGTCTGTTGATTGCGGGGTTAACTATCTTCCATCTGTTATGCTTGGGGCTGTGTGTGATAGCGAGCTGAGTCATTACGGTCTGTTCGTTGGCCGTAACAGTAAGCTTAATAATAAAAAAAAGTTACTAAATAAAGCTATAGTTAGCGCGTCTGCTAGTGCGTCTACTAGCGTGTTAGATAGAGTGCTGGCATTATCTATGTTTAATATATATTATAGAGCAGAATAAGCGCTTTATAATAATAGTAATTTTAAAAATTTTAACGCAGTATTAGAGGGTAAAGTACACTATTAAAGATAGTAACACTAATAGCTAATAGATAAATTAAGATACATATAAATAACTACTATTTTCCTTTAGACTCTTAAAATAGAATTACCTCTTTTTTATTTAGTGTGTTTTAATTAGTTTAGAAGTTTCTAGAAGTTCTTAGAAGTTTTAATTAGCTTAGAAGTTTTAGAAGTTCTGTCTATTCCTAAATAAGTTAAGGGCGATTCTAGGTTAAGGGTCTGACTCGTGAGATAAGAGGCAGGTGATCTGACTAATGTCGGTACACGTGATCTCCACTAATTGTCGACTTGAGCTACGCCAGACGACATTGAGGTCTCTAGGATGCATATGTTTAAATTGGAAAGCCTGGGTATCTAATACATACTCAAAATCCCTGTATCATGCCTTCCCTACGCCCTTCCACGTTCTCTCTCCCTCCATTTCCAGCCAAGCTCCTGCACCAACGCAACCAGCCCTTCATTCTTCTTCAAATAACTCTCCCTCAGCCCAGGCGCCATTTCAACAATAGGCGCCAAATCATGCGCCGCGCAAATCCTCCAATTCCTCGTCCGACTTCCACTCCTCTGCACCCTTCCCCTAACTTATGGGCTAAGAACTCGTCTAGCATTGGCTTGGGTGGAATGCTGTTTGTGCTTGGATGTGGAGTCAATGGTGCCGGAGAGGAATACTTGCCTTTTGGTTGAGGTGAGGCATGGGAGGCCGATGTAATAGGGAGAGATGATGGTTTTGCGTCGTGTGCAGGAGGAGTTGGAGTGGGAAGTTGAAGAGAAAGAAGTGGAGGTTGTACCAGAAGCGGGGGTCGGATTGACAGGTGGAGGTGATGTTGGGAGGTGATGTTGGGGGTGCGCACTTTAGACTGGAGGTTTGTTGGCTTGGCCGTTTTAGTGAGTATTTGAAAAGTAGAAGAGGATGGGATGTGGATGGCCAGGCGGTGGAACTGGCAGTGCGCTGTGGGGATCAACAGGGCGGTGTTAGGATGCTGGTGGGTCTTCGGGATTGGAGCTGGAGTTACGAGGAGGCAGGTGGGAGCGGGTTGTGTGCCTGGTCGGGGGCTGTGGTCGCGATGCTGGGGTGGGTAGGTGATGAACTTCTGATTGAAGCTGTCGATGGGTAGATGTGTTACGGGTAAACTAAAACACAAAGCGAGAAGGGCACCATTTCTTAAGATATCGAGAGATTTCAAGATCACAATGCTTCCACAGTTCATGTCCTCGATTAGGCATTGTCAGGAGGATGCTTCAAGTGCAGGATGTTAATGCCTGCAATGGAATGTTGACAGGAAAGAGTGGTTCTGTTGAACATTTTACTGGAACTGGGGAAGTATTAGAGATTATTTCTAGGCTGGTCCGACATCAATCGCTGTCAGGTACGTTACGACGGCAAACTGGAGGAGTTGGTTAGAACTTATGGAGCTGATATATACAGATTTCGTGGCCTAGAGATGTCATTGGGGCTCTCCTTTTGCTCGTCATAATCCTCTCCTCCCTCCTGCTGAGCAAGATAAAGGGATACTGCATATCTGCTATAAGTTGCGGAACTGATAGTTAGTCATCCTTGAGGAGCGGAGCATTGCTACGTGGGCGGATGTGAGACGTGATTGGTTTCCGACAATGGAAGGCCTTCAGCCCTACAGCCTGGTGGCGGCCATGTGATGGCTTGGTCCTAAAATTATCGCAGTGGCTCCACGCTGGGCTATCGTGGATGTGGTGAAGAAGACGGGGAGAGATGATAGAATGAAGGCCTGCATGTCCCAGCAAGGAGCATTCACCTCGCCTGGGTTGAGGAAGCTGGAGCGGGCTGATCCCTGTAGACGGTGCATTGAACCTTGGGCCGGGGACGGGAGGAGAGAAAGCACCACCAGCGCAGGCCGCATCATCACGCTTCCAGAATCCACCACCGCACACCTCATCAAGCTTCTCATCCTCTCCATATTCTCCCGTCCGTCATCCGTCGCGCCCTTGCACTGCAGTCAGCACCACTCGCCTGTCTAATCATCGCTCTCCAACGCGCGGAGGTTGTCCAGTCGTTCCGAGCTTGTGCGACGCCGGAATAATTCTAAGACGCCTTTTCCTATCGCTGCAACAATAGCCCTGCCCAGTCAACGCTCCATTGCTGGTCGCTCGCCCCCGCCGGTGATGGTCACTGTCAGTTCATGGCCTCGCTGAGGCGCAAGATATTATCGAGGCAGCAGCTGCGCGAAACCCACGCAAAAGCAACGCGGTGACAGCCTCTCCTCACACGATACGCTCGGTCCTCCACAATGGCGCCCTCCAACATGTTTTCGTACCTACGGAACCACAACAGGCGCAATGTCTCGAATCCTGCCTCTCCAGATCCCCCCAATACCGCGGGCGCGCAGCCGATCCCCACGCCCTCACCCTCGCTGCAGTCGCCCGAGGTTTTTCCTGCGACGCGGCCGGCCGACAATGCCAGTTTCAACTCTGGCTCTCCAGTCTCGCCCTATCCACCGCAGCTCCCGCCAATTCCACGCGTAGCCTCGCGGATCGATCGTTCGTCCGCAAGCTCTGCCGTTACCAGTCCCCAACCCCCCACCAGCACACACTCAAGTTCTACTGGCATAAACAATCAAATAGCGGAAACCCGAGGGATGCGCCCCGGTTTGGTGTCCCTCCAGGACCAGTTTTTGTCGCCAGGACATGATAATCAGCGTCCCTCGTCGAGGAATGCACAGTCGAGCCCAGTGCCAGGCTTCCGGTCGAAAGGGCAGAGCCTCGTCGAGGTGGTGGAGCACGCAGTACAGGACTCATACCCTGCGCAGCCATCTTCACAGCTATCACCACCCAGCATTGCTTCGGACTACTCAACGAAATCCCGCTCCCAGACGTCACTCGTCGGTGGCTTCAGCGACAGGTTCTCGAGTGCGCCCAAGCCTGCAAACACCCCAGCTGGCCAACAGAAGTCTGTCAAATCCAGGCTGACTCTGCGGAATCCCATGTCTCTTTTGATGCGACGCAGGTCTGGGCAGCCGTTAGAACACCTCGCAGACGAGTCATTAGTCAGCCATCGATCGCCCTCAGTAGTGCCTCCCATGCCAGACGACTACGATCCGAGTATTCGCGGACGAATTTTCCACGACTTCAGCGTTCCTCGACCGAACCGAAACTTCTCGTATAATAATGCATATGGGAACGATCCGAGCAGGCCGCCCTCGGGAAATACCCCACAAGAAGCTGATCGCTACAGTCCACCCAAAGTGGAACGCGAACACACCCCTGTGTTTCGGGAGCATTTCGATGACGATAGCAGTTACGAAGCCTCCCAGGCCGCCATTCGAGCGGAACAGCTAGTGAATCGGGATTTTCTCGCGAGAAACTCTCTTCTTGCACCTCCTCAAAGATCTCCGCCACCCCCTCCGCCTCTGCCCAAAGATTCTCCTCCAGCGCCTCCTCCTCAACATTCATTACCCTCTACTTCTTCTTCTTCTTCTTATCCTCCTCCTCCTCCTCCTCCTCCTCCTCCCCCTCCTCCCCCTCCTCCTGAGAAGACTCTAGATGACTTCGAATCATCCGTCTTATCACCAGTGCAAGAAGCGTCAAGCCCTACCGATGCCTCCACCGACGAAACGCCGCGGAAGAGGAAATCAACCAAGACACCGCCTTCATCCCGGTCAAGAGCTACTTCAGTCACAGATCCATCATTTGTACCGGCTGGTCTGCCCGCACACCTCACGAGCAGATCCTCAAGATTCAGCTTCCAGATTGCCGGCAATGACTCGGCACAAGAGAAGCTGCTCGAAGAGAGGCATAAGCAGAAGGCAGCCGAAAAGGCTTCTAAACAAACTCGCATGTCGACAACTACGCTTGACGATGACTATGACGACTATGGCATGGATGACTTTGACATGGATGACGGATTCGAGGAAGACATCCCCATGCTTGGCGACGACTACGACTTTGGCGACGCATCTATGTCTCCTGGAATGTCTGCCTTCGACTTCTCCTCATTCACCCTACCCATGCACAACAACCCAATGAGTCCAATTAGCATGAATGGAGAGCTACAGACACCTCGCGATGCAAACGGAAATGCTATCGGATTTGCCCTTTCCAACGACATGGTTCAGAGTGTTCATTTGCCTGCACCTGGACGGCACTTGAATGGATCCGATGTCCCTATCACTGAGATGCGTGGGCTTGGTTTGATGGAGCTTTCACATGGGCCTGGAGATAAATCGAATTTCACTCCTGCCGATACCCCCGAAGACACGAACACCACTGCGACAGATGAACCGAGCACAGGCAAGGTGGATTTGGATGATGATTTGTACTTTGATGATGGCATGATCGAAGAGCAGGGAGACATTGACGCTGTCGAATTTGATGAAAACGTATTTGACGACCCATCCCATCCGCTATTTGAACGCAAGATGAAACCACCACCCATCGAAGAGCTTAAAATTGGCCTTTCTTCTCATCCACCGGATATATCGAGTTCAGAAGCTGGATACGAAGCAGATGACGACGATCTCACACGACATATCAACAAGGCCGAACCATCTCTTGCCCACAAAACCTCCACAGCCGCTCAAAGGCCTGTACCGGGCTTCGGCAATCTTGACGCTTACCACAATGCGCTTGCAGATGCTGCAAACCGTGCAGAGGCAGAAGGACGGTTCGCGCGCAAGGAAAGCGTTGATGTTGGACAAGTAAGCTCTGATGCTGGTGACTCTTCTCTCAGCGACTCGCGTCCTAGCCTTATACCCGATGATGGGCGCTATAGTCTAGACACTGCTGGTTTTCCGTTTGATGATGACGGGTTTGGTATGGACTCTAGCTTTGTGGACGATTACGATTACAGCGAGTACGACTCTGCGCTAGAAGACGATCCCATGATTGCCGAGGCAAACGCTGAAGCGCTTGCGAGTGATTATGAAGAGTTCTACGGCCAGGAATTCGGGTTCTATGCTAGCGCCCAGGGAGAGGCAGTAAACGCCTATGGTGGCTTCTTCGGGCCATCAGGTCTCGGTCGCAGTGTTAGCGGCCGCAATGCCGTGCGTGAACCCAACCTCACGCCCATCACGGAACGTAGCGAATACAGCACGAGAAACTCGTTCATCAGCCTCAACCATTTCCGTGACGGACAACAACCGATACAGAGTCCAGGCCTCGCGCAGCTAGCACGGATCAGTCCGTATGGCTGGCGAGATGATGATCCAGACATGAGCCTCGATTCTCTCATGAAACTACGAAAAGGCGCATTTGGGGGAAGTAGAGCCAGCTTAGGCAGTTCCACAGGTAACAGCCCACGAAACTCGAGTCCTATGGGTATGCAATACGTCCCCGGGACAGCTAGCCCGATGGCGAATTATTCCAGAGGTAGCGTAGAAGTTGGTGACAGCGATGACTCTGTCCCAGTCGTAGATGACGAATTCGAGGACGACAACGAGGCTCTCGATGCAGTGAACGCTATTCCGGGGGAGTATTCCTCCAGCTCAGAAGACAGTTCAGCCGAGGAAGAAAGACCCGGAAGCCCAACCTTAACAGCCTCAGACTACAACTCTCTTTCCAGCCCGATAAGTCAAGCCCAATCCCAATCTCAGAACCATTCTGCCCATGACATGCCACCGCCCCCATTACCGCGCTCCAAAATGGCCGCGGGCATAGGAATCTCCCCGCCTCCCCTAAGTCTTTCAACAACCTTCACTCACCCCCATTCTAATTCCATCGACACAAATCTCTCCTCCCCTACCCTAGCCTCTGCACCGGGCTCGGCGCCTCGTCGCCAGTCTCTTGGCCTCGTATCACCCATCTCTACGAACTCACCTATGACGCCTGGAGGCGGGTGGAAGGGTGGCCATAGTCGGAAAGGTAGCGCTGCGGATAGTGTTGCGTATGTAAGAGAACATGATGAGCAGGGAGGGGATCGATGGGTACTGGAAAGAAGGAGGACGGCAGAGAGCGGGGAGCTGGAGTTGATTGGTAGGGAGATTGTTGAGGGTGGGAGGATATAACAAGTTGAGATTGGAATTGGGATTGGCATACGCATCGTTAGAGCGAACATCTCTTCCTTTGTTTCAGCACTCCGAATTTTCACGCTTTTGTGCCGAACTCGTTTGGCTGTTGGATCGCATTGCATGGCGTTGGTTCTGGTCTCGGTTTTTTTTCTCTCAGCGCAAGTAAGCGGGTATAGCTAGACCTCCGGAGTCCTTGGATAGGGTTGGGAGACTTGGACAACATACCATCATCATATAAGCTTATCATAGATAGCATCGTACTTAGCGAGCAGGCAGGCAGGCAGGCATTGAGATCAGGTATTTTCAATGGCATTTGCATACTCCTCACATCGTTGCCCCTTACCCCTCTCGAAAACCCCTTAGGATGTCAAATTCTCATCTATTAAAGTGCGCCCATAGCTTGCAATGCATCCTCATTGTGATGAATGCCTAGGTAGAGCCAGAGCAGACAAAAGGTCAAAATCTACTTCAATACTATACACCTTCGCGGGACCATCTGCAATATAGTTGAAAACCCCAGTACCTATGACGAGCGGGATTTAATCTAGATAAACGCCCAACTAGTTCCCAATTCCCTATTTCGGCAACTCTAAAACCCGTCGATTGCAGCAGGATTTAAATCCTAAGAAACCTGCACACGATTATTGAACCACCACAGCGCAGCACTTGACTTCATTAAAAAAAAAAAAAAAAAGGGGGATTTTCAGGACACTGCATGCAACAAAGGAGTCGAAATGTTGTGACGTCCGACGACTTTCTCCTTTTGCTTACTTGTTTCGAACGAGGTTGTATGGAAGCTGTGCGGATTAGAACTTTCGTCGTGTCGAGATTAATCTAATAAGATATGGACTGGATACTGAATAGGGACACTATCTGTAGGCACTGTTTGTGTTGGGTTCTAATTCCCTGGGTTCTTTTTCTTTTTCTTTTTCATGGGTTTTCCGATGGTTATGTGTACAAACGATTGGGTAAGGTTCTCGGATCTTTTCTTTCGGTCCTCACAATGTTATAGTCTGGTTTCAATGCTGAATTGATTATGGAGAAGGGAGGGTGTCACAATGATATCATAATACTATTACGTTCGCTTACATTTGCCTCCAATTTCTCTGCCACTTTCCTCAAGGCGCCCTCAAAGCAATCACTCACGCAGGCCTTTTCCCACCCCAAATTTTCCTCGGCCTCCCCGGCTTCCTCAACTCCCTCTTGTTTGGCCCCCTCTTAACCTTCTGCCCAGCAGTCCACGTCGGCGTCGGATCCGGCGCATTCAAGGCCGTATTGTACGTTGCATTCTTCGGCGTGACCTCCATCTGCATGGTTCCATTCCCCTCTCTAAACTCACTCACTGGAGTCCCCTTCGTCTTATATCCCTTATCGTCGCATATCTTCTGCTTCCCCGTCGCAATATCCACCTGCTTCAAAGCGCGCTCAAAGATTTCTAACGCGGCGAGAGGTTGGTAGAACGGGACTTCGTGACCAGATTCGTAGATGCGGAGGAAGGAGAAGAGACCGCTTTGTCGGACTTGGCCGTGCACGATGTCGTCGGAGGTTGTGATGTTGACGAATCCCGCGGTGGAATAGCCAGGCGCAGAGACCATGTCTGCGATGACTTGGCCACCAAGCCAGTTGCAGTTGAAGTCGCTTTGGAGAGTGTTAATATGCTGGTGATTTTGTGGGGTTAAGAGAGAGGGACTAACGCGTCGCCGTAGTATAGCATGACTTGTACGCCTGCTTTCAAGAGCTTCCTAACAGCTTCAATAGTACCGGACTCGCGGTCATCGTCACCTGTATTACCGAAAGAATTGCTAACCGTCGACGAGGACTCAGAGAAATTCTGATACGCTCCAATTGCCGCTTGTACCTCGGGAGTATTCAGGTACTCGACATAGTACGAGTATGGAAATGGATCTGGTATCAGATACCGCATATCGTATTCATCTCGCCCCGAGTAGAGATCGTAGAGATATTCCACCTTGTTGTAACAGAAGTCATCGGCGCGAGAGCAAATGGAATTCCGACCATCAGAGTAACACTGCTTCGTCATATCGACGCAGTTGCCTGCTCCGTAGAGATTGTTGTACCATTCTGCCTTGACGGTGTCGTTATACGGATCGTAGTCATAAGTGTTGCCTGGATATACAGAGTAGTTATAATACGCTTGGTATTGCACTAGCGGATCGAACCAGCCGTTTCCAATGAGCACATTTTCGAGATCAATCTTGTGAGCACCTGGGAGGTTCTTCTTGTTTTGCTCGACGAAATACTCTACAAAGAAACTACCATTAGCATTCAGCCCTAAGCGAGCTTTGCGACACAGCTATCTTACCATTGAAAACAGGCCCATAGTGTCCACCATAACTCTCAGTCGTAAAACTAAAGCCAGCCCGCGAATACTGAGGAAATGCGCCCATGAATCCTTGAAGCGTCTTCCACATATTCGGCGCTGCTCCTTGTGTACTGTTTGCGGTCAAAGCAAGATCAGGCTTCGAATATGTTCCGCAGGTTCCGAAGTTCTCGGCGTAGTCAGGACATGTATTGTTCGGCAATTGAATGATGTAACCGCTGTCATCTTGGTAGCCAGGGATCGGAATTGAATATGAGAATCCCACCATAGTCGGCTCGTCGATAAATAGCTAGTGGGTTGTTAGTACCGCATTTTGAAAAGCAATTAGGGGATGTGTACCATGTTGCTTGCATTTGTCCACGAGTACGGGTTGTTGAAGGGTTTCATATCCGGACCGACTCCGCAGGGTCCCAGTTCCTGGAAAAGGCCGATCATGGATGAGGATCCAGGGCCTCCATTGATCCACACTGTTAATGGCGCGTCTGTGGGATCTTGGTTTCGGGCTTCAAAGAACCACCTGATGTAATCAACTTCTCCCATCCAGAATGAAGAATGCGTAGCACCTACCAGAATATGTGTTGGTTCTCGGCTACATCTGCATATCCCGAATAGCTCTTGACATTGGGGTCTAACTCACAGATCCCAGTTGGGACTTCCTTATATCTCACATTGATTCCAGCATATCCCTCTTTGGTGATCAGATCAGCTGGGCCTGGTAGGAATTGAGCAGCAGCACCCGTAGCCAGCAATGCTAACGCAAGGCCCTGCGAATGCCCCCTCATCTTTGATTGCTGAAATTACGCGCTCAACGTTTACAACGGCGTTACAGAGGTTAGATTTCAAAAGTTGGTATGAGCTCGCAGTGGATATTCCGCAGGCTGCCTGCCGTGAACTCACCCGTATATTTGGGTGTCAATTGTGAGCAGGTGCGAGCTCACAAGCTTGCGAAATATAGAGCAAGGCACACAAATAAGATGTACCCTTTTGCGCTCGCGCTCACCGAACTTGCGATAGACGCAACCTGAGGACAATAAAGAAAGAGAAAAACAAAGCGGGAGCTCCTCTCAGCGGGGAAGCTCTTAAAGCCATGCTAGGATAGCTGTGTAGCCCTGCAAGACCAAAGCCCAGCCGTGCTGATAAGATGTACCTTCCTTGCTAGGTTAATTTGGGCTTTGATGGGGTTTTAACAAGGAGCTATGCCTCGAAGAGCAATTGTTAGCACCGGCCCACGCCGATGACGCAAATTCACGGAGAGTGTTCGACGAAAACTAAGAGAAAAAAACTCTACGTAACGCGGAATGTAATCCATGGATCAACCGAGGAGCTGGGTCACAAAGCCGGAAACTAAAGCTGCTGTAGTCCCAGCTTCCGCGGCCATGGGAAGGGCCAAGAAAGACAGTAGGAGACAGGTATGGAGATAGGAGTAAATGAAGACACCACCTCACTCCGCATCAGCTCATAAATTCCAACACGAGGTCCCACGAACGAAGGCAGAATCAAGATATCGTGGGGCATCCTTGGTAGCATTGATATGATCTGTATAACCGGTAACTCTGCGGGATGGAGTACATCGGCTAAGACTGATCCGGAAGGTGGGACATTGCTGCAGGAACACCAACCCCCTCGGTTGGAGTCAATTTACGAAGTGTCTCCTCCCGAGATCTATGGTGCCAGAAAGGTCGCGTGGGAAGATTGAAATTCACTTCAAGGAGTTGAAGTTCCGAAGAAGCTCAACGGTCAACGGGAAGCCACGAACGGGAAACCAAGACGCTATTCTAGCTCGTGTTCATGCGTAGTGGTTCTCGTGGTACCCGGGACAGCAGTATCTTGATATCTTGGAATAGCGTTTAATTGTCGTTCTACCTGTGACTTTGAGCTTCACCTTAGTTCGTGAGCATTCGTTGTGTCATAATAATTCGTGCCTCCCTACCAAACGCCCCCGACTCCATCTCATCCAACCGAAACCCGTAGGAAGACTCAACTACAGCACAGTACCAAACCCGAAGGTAGTCTTGATGCTCCTCACGTAGTACTCACCCCAATTGCCCTTCGTTGGCTCCTCCTGACCAACCGGCACGCCCTTCCATTCTACACGCATCACGGTTACGGCATCAATATCATTCTGATCGAACCAGATGGACAGGTTAGAGTAATGACCCTGGGGCCACTGAGCAAGACGCCATTTCTGAACGATATGGGTTGGTTCTTCCAGCTCCGTGAATTCACCAGATACATTGCCACCGAACAACTCGAATGTACCGCCAGGCTTCGCACCAGTGAAGTTCTTCGGCGGAGAACGAGTGAAGGCAGCGAGTCGCTGAGGATCGGTGAAGGTCTGGTAGAGCTCAGCTGCGGTTGTGCGGAATTCGGTACTATCCGTAATAGTCACGGTGTTGACCAAAGCTCCCGAGCTCGACTGCGTGGCGGTAGAAGCTAACTTTGGTTCAGAAGACTTGTTGATCGAAGAGCTAGAGTAGATCTTAGGAGTTGAGAAGCCACTCGAAGGGTTTGAGCCTGGAGCGTGTTGGATATCCTTCCCATGTTCTTTGATGAGCGCAGGTCCTAGTTTTGCGAGGCTCTTGCGGAGTTCCGGGACTATTTTCGACCGCACCAGATCCTTGACGGGTTGCTTCTTGCTCTCGTCCGAATAGATGTCTATGTCAAACTATACTCCATGTAAGCGATCTACCTGGCACAAAGAAGCTTGATAACACGATGTGGGGAGCGAAGGGAACATACGACGTACTCGTCTTCCTCCGTATCATGGGCAACCTCAGGTACCGAGATGGTGCCGCTCGCTTCCTCACCCTCTTTATTCTTACCTGGCCGCAACGTCAGCCTGCAGAAATGGACATGGGAAACATCTTGCACATACCAGAGTATTCTAGTTTCAGCTTCACATCGAACAAGGTGATGACCTTGCCTTTGCGCTGGCTTACATCTACGTCTCCATCCATGCTGATGACTTTGTCCACTTTGGCTGTGACACCATCATGTTCAGCCGAGATGGTAGGGAGTTCGCTGTCAAGAAACTCCCTCGCCCATCCTGACACATCCTTATTCACCCAATGCCAGTTATTGGGGTTGTGGAGCACCATTTCGGCGAGGGGTTGATGGATTCACAAGTGCGGGGCGAGTCTAGACTGCGAAGTTAGCACAAAGTCGGACACGTAGAGGACAAGAGAATAGAGCTGGGAGGTGATTCAGAGAAAGGAGTCTATGCTCCACAAGCTGATCCGCATCAAAAGAGTACAAGTCTTCTAGGCCTGGTGCCAGCTGGTGTTTCATCACTCAAAGCAAAGGTAAGTAAAGGGATAGAAAAAGTCTTACTGCTCTGAGCCAAAAAGATTGCAAAAATCAAAGCAATTTTTCTGGTGGAAGAGGACTAAAGAGAACAAGGTAGCGTTCGAGGCAGCGCGGGTGTTGGTAAGTTTTGAGAGGGCGGAGAATATTCTCGAAGCGCAGAGCTCATCAAAAGCGCCAAGACGCTAACCACCTCGGGCCGATGATTATCCATAGACCCTAGTATATCCACGGGGACCTGGGGTGCTGGGGTGTGCCGTCAAACAGTTATCGGTGATGTTGTACAGTACACAGAACGCAGGTTCTCCCTGTAGGCATCACAATGACTGCCTCACAAGGGCCGGCTACCAGCGTGGGAATTTCGTGATGTCCAGCAGTCTTGTGCTTCGGGGTGCTGGCGTCGACGTTCCCACTCAGGGCATCGACCTAGGGCATCGACCTCAGGCATGCCCTTGTCCAGTATCAAGTGGCTCTAGTGGCCGGGTGTCTGGCTTTGGCAACTCAGCAAATGTACGGGCCGAAGTCGCTGCTGTTGGTCAAGTCTGAGCAATGCTAAGACTGTTTCTGATCATTGTGATGGACTCGCAGGGAGCAGTAGATAGAGCCTTGGACCGAACCTGCATACAGGATAGGTATAGTAGCAGCTCTTGGAATGAATCATAGAATTAGAAAAGAGGTTATGGGGACAATATTAATATATAGTAAAAATTGGGGTATTGCATGAGGCGGTGCATGTCTTCAGTTCAATAAAATGACGCTTCAACTATGGCGGCGTACGACGTCTAGAAGCTGCCCATTACGTCTGACGGGGTCGAGGGTAGTCTCCGTTATCAATAGCAAAGAGAACATCTGTTTTGCCTAAGCGCTCATGCTTTATCTAGTCTTCAATATTTTCAACGCAATTGGGGTATCCCCTCAACCAATCATTACTTTCTACTGCCTCATCTCTACAAAACTACCTCATATATTCATATCTCCTCCTCCCCGCCCTGATCGCCGCCCCAGCCCCCATCTCCACCCTTCCAATCTCTCCCTCTGGTCTCGCATCCCCAATATACCCGGGTAATTCATCATACACCGCCTCCCAGCCAGCTCCCTCCGCCACCCCAAGCTGACCTACATAGCTCGCGCCAACTCTTAACATAACCTCCGCTCCCAAATTATTTGCCCAAGGCATCATAACGAACACATACATCGCAAGGCAAAGCAGGCCGAATAGATGGAGTCCGAGGAATACGGATCCAGCGATCATGGCCCGGTGCGACATCTCTAATCTTATGGTGTCTACACCCTTCTCATACCAAACTTGCAAATTCCTACTCTTATGATCATCCATTAGAACTCCTCTCGTCAGGAATAATCTATTCGCCAGGAACACGCCCGCGTCCATCGCACTCTGGAAGCTGGGCATATTGTGGGTGAATGGAAACAGCCAACCAGACATTATGCTTGACTCATCACTGATCATATCCCAGTCGGTGATACACCCGCGATCCTGATAGAGTGCAAACGGGCGCAGAGCGACGCAGAGATCGGTAAACGGGCGGCGAGTGTTTTGGTCGTTAAAGGCAGGCCGCGTTTCAATGTAGGCTTCTGGGTGTTGCAGCCGCGTTTCGATGTAGGATCCGTTGCCAAACAATGCTAGAGTAAGGGAAAGTAGGGGGCCTTTGTGGGTTACAGCGATGAGAGTCTCGTTACCAAGGTTTGTGGTACTAATATTGGAGACCGCGTCTCGTGGGTGATAGTTTGTGCGGCCATTTGCTGCGTATCTTAACTGCTTCGAGTTTTTTGGGATGGGATCTTTGGCGAGCAAAGGCCCTGGCTGGTTCCCGTTCGCTTCTCTGGGAAGCTCGAAGTAGCCAAGAGTCGTCCAGACAGTGGCGCGATAGAATTCTGAGTTTGAGGATGAAATTGAACCGGTTGTGATGTTCAGGTACAGAGTTTCGGTGATATCTTGTCGGTCGCGTGTCGGCTTCCAGGGAGAATTGCGCAGATCGCTGGCCATGCATGCTATTAGGGAGTGCTCCACATATCCTCTGCTAGTGTATTGGGCATAGAACCCACCCGTATCCGTTTCGTTTCGACAATTAGAGGTAAAGTCTCCTTCAAGAACCCGGGTGTAGTTCGTAGTCGAGTTCATGCGTGGGACAAATTGAGGTGTGTTGTACACTCCGGTGCTGAAATTCGCAGGGATTTCCGAGATGAACACATCCGGATGGCTGTATCTGGAGTCTATATAGCGGCCGTTGCTAGGTAAAGTACCCTCGTGGGACCACATGTTAGGCTGGGCGTCGTATTTGGTTGCGGTATCTATAAGGTTCCGAAGCACATAGACAAGCTCTCCATCGTCATAGTTCTGATATCCATCGAGGTTGAAGATGTTGGGTATGTCGACTAGACTAGGAATTGACTGGGGAACGTCGACGCTGCCCTTGATTGTTTTGGTTGTGGCAAGGGTTTCTTGCATGATCTGGGATATGCTTCCTGAATGAGGTAAACTAAGCTTAAATGGAAAAAGCTGAGGCTAACTGCTTACCAATGAGCGTCAGAGTGAAAGCAATAAATAGCGGCAGGCTGCCTGCCTTCATTATAATCAACTTTCCTCGAACATCAACCAACTTCATCCATATCCGAGGACTGGCCCATCCCTGGTCTGCCAAAGCCATCAGCTGTCTCAAAGACAGGTCTCGTCGCAGACTTCCAGCCTGCATGTATGCCACAGCAGCCATGGAGCAGATAGCCGACGTAACAGGGATTGTCAGGAGCGTCACAATACTCCTCAGAATTTCGGTACCTCTGATATACTTCTCGTTAACGTGGAAAAAGTGAAGCTCGTCAACTCTATAGTCACTCGGTCCGGTGTACGACTTTAGGCCTCGAATTGGGTGTTGGCTTGCCACGCAAGTAAAAATCCATGCCACCAAAGCGAGCATCATGTAAACGCAGAGAATTAAGAGAGGATAGGCATTTAGCTTAAGTTTTGTGGTCGCAGGTTCTCGCGCTGTGATAGAAGAATGTGTGGAGTTCCGTGTGGTGTCTGCCCTCTCGGTTTTGGGAATATGGGTTTGCGCTTGGGTATCTAAAGCTCTGTTCTGTATCTCGTATACTTCTTCCGCCATCTAAAGAGAGCTTTTCGGCACGTAGAGGCCTTAATGAGGGGATATTGCAATACTGATATGACAAATGGGTAGTTAGGTATGCATTCTAGGAAAAGAACGGGCGAAGGGTTTGAAATGAACATTCAGCGACAAATGAAACTATGAAAGGAGACGGCAAGCCTTGCCAATAAGTACGGGGGAAGTGCGTGACCCAACCTTACCGGTGAGAGATGGATTGGATACCCTGTAGGTTAGCCAGGCCGCCAATATTCAACACAAGGAGGATTTGGAAGTGTGGCTAGGCGACTATGGCCTAAACACCCACCGCACGAAACTATGATTATTCTAGAGTATCATAAATAATGCTAGGCATGCTCGAAATCACCGCTGTACGATTATGCTCGAAATGACGGAGGTGCAAGGTGGGAATGACACGAGATGATGCTCCCAAGGGTGGGCTGAGGATACATGCAACGGACTAGTTTCAAAGGTTATTTTTAGCCGATCACGTGGAGTTGGACTCTGCTCTCTTTGATAGAGTTGAAGAAAGGAAAATAGCGCATTAAGTGGTGTAGACACCATATCTAGTAGAGCGCTTACTTTTTTGCAACGACAATAACTCCTCTTACAACTCGAGTCGTGCCCCACCACTTGAACATCCATTTTGCGACATGAAACGCGCCCAGGTCAAAACCTATGACTCGCAATCTCCGGTCCTGGTCTTCCAGGAAACAAGCCAGTGGTTCGAACACGTAATCGGAAATATCTCTGATGGTGATATCTTTGTAACCGACTTTCTCTAGTTTCACCCGGTACTCTTCTGCGGTAACGAAGTTGGCCCAAGGTGCTCCCATCAGCGAGGTAATAATGCGAAGAAGGATCTTGTTGGGGAAAGAAACACGGCTCGCAAGACAGATATCGAAAGCCATAAATGTTGCGTGAAGACAATTCGAGGCGTAATCTATGATCGGCCAACGAGAAGGAGAAAAGTGGTAGAGAGTGTCGAGTGCAAGAACGCAGGGCTCATCTGCCTGACCCGCCACCCAGCAAACCTCCTTTACAAGCCCATCATCCCATTGATGTGGTTTTGCTGCATCTGCACACAGAAGTCTAACCTTCTGTTTTCCGTCAACTTTAGCGCTGGGTCGGAATTTCTTGATACGCTGTTCTGCGAATTGAAACTGCTTCGAATCGACGGTAATTCCAATGTAAGATTCGAAGTGCGGTACATAGAGTCGTTGATTCTGGGGCCTTTTATCTGGGTGTTGAACGGGAAAGTCGTCCATGAGATAAAGTGTTTGGTCTCCGCATCCAAAGCCAAGGTCAATCAGGATTCGGGTGGGCATCCGCTGATGGGCAACTTCCTGCAGAAGGGGGAACCCAGCAGTTTTGAAGACTTCCTCAAGCAGTGCAATGCTGGCGGCTGGTAGGGTTTTTGGTATATATCCTGCATGGTTGCTCTGGCAAGTGTGAACAGGGAGACTGAAGATGGAAAACGAAATCTATCCTACATGCCAATACCCCATATTCATCCACATCGGGGGCGGGAGTGTCAGATTCAACCTGCCATGATCAAGGCCATATACAGAGCTACTCGAACCATGATGTGGCTCTGAAGCTCCAATGCGAGAGATGCGAGAAAGAAGACGTCGACACAGTGGGAGGAAAAAGACCCCACCAAAAAATATCGATAATGTTGAGGGGAAGGTACCCGCGTCAGGCAATTTGCGAACCAAGGGAAGGCCAATAAGCAAAATAAGGATAGCTGATAAGATTGTCCATCCCGAAGCGCGCATGTCGCTGGAAGTGTAGTAGGGATAGCGTTAGAAAGAAGGACTGGTAGGGCTGCAACCGTCGCTAACACGGAACTAGTCCATTTCGAGCCTTCCATCAACCCAGCTTTATAGGGATATCGCACGAGGGCCTGAATGTATGTCCAGCACTTGAAAGTATACTCAAACTCCGTCACCCACAGCCCTCAAAGGCTCGAGTTTATTTGTCGCTGAAAAACTATCACACTTTGCTGCATGCTTTCATTCGCTATTCGTATGAAAGCATGATTGTGAAACCTATAATATTTTTATCACTGCTATGCCACATGCCTTCAACCAAACCTCACTAAGTCTCGCTCTCGCGCGTCCAGGGCACATCGACGTCAAACGCATCCGCTACTCGCATGGCTGAGAGTATGCAGCCTTCTAAAAGAACCATTCCATCCCAACACCATCCTCCGGCCAACCATACACCATTGTCTCCATTCCTCCAAATCGGCCTGGACTTTTCATCCCCATAATAGTGAGGTGTATTGTTGAATATGCTATTTACAACCCGTCTGCTTTCCGGGCTCCGGAGAACACGAGTGAACCTTGCTGAATGGATTATGAGAGAGGGATCAATGGCGGTGAAAGGACAAGTAGTGACGATGGCGCCACAAGGTTGCAAGTGAAGAGATTCTGTCCGATGGGCGCCATTTGTTGATGTCCGGAGGGAGATTATCTGGGCTGGGTGCCTATGACCATCTCCCTCCTCTGGATTTTCTATACTAAGTAGCTTTCGATCGGTGTGGACCACACTTTCAACAATAGTCGTGGGTATCTTCGTCATGTAGCGACGCAAGGGGTCGAAGATCTCGCCGACAATATCTGGCGCGACGGCAAGGACTACTCGATCGAAAATTTCTTCTTGAACAGAAGCCGCACCCCCCTGGTCATTAACCTTCTTCCAGCAAATCTTGATACCACTTCTCTGCAGCTCAATTTCCGACACCATTGTAGATAATTCGTAATCGATTCCCCCCACGAGCATGTCCTGAACGGTCTTCACACCGTTGGAAACGGTGTAGTGCGGAGCACCATGCGTCCTCCTTTTATACTCCGTCAAGTCTCTTGCAGGGAATTTGAGGAGCGCCTCATGCGGACAAGTCGAAACACTTGATATCAGCGGAAGGAGGTAGTACGTCACAAAGTACTCCGGCAGGTGTATGCGCTGTAAATAATGGGCTAGGGTTTCCGACACGTCATTTGTCGTCTGAGGTGTCACCAGAAAGCAGCAAATGGAAAACCAAGCGTAGCATGCCAGCAAATATACTGCTTCCACCAAGTATGTCACGGAAGCCATCGCTTTCGGTCGAGGTAGGGCGGTCTTGTGAAGGTTCGAAGCGTAGACGAAATACGAAGAGTCTTCCCCAGTGTGTCCCGGCTCAGTATTCGCCGAATCCCCGTTGGCAAATTCAAATAAGAAGCGCTGCGAATGGTACCTGACACCTAAGTGATCGTACATGGCCCTCAGGTTGTTGTAATATCCTCCAGCGAAGGCGCGCATGGGGAGGTCGACACGATCCGACAGCGTTCCGGAGGAATTGGGTATCGATACTGAGGCGGAGTCCAGAGACAGTGTCTTACCCTTCAACAATCAATTAGCTTTCTCTATATCCGCAAGGACAGGTGGACTAACCGATTCGAAAAGCTTCACTGCATACCGCTTGCGAGTATCTTGATGGAGTAGGTACGCGGTTACCAGGCCGGCCATGCCTGAGCCAACAATAGCTACGCGGAGGGGATTTTTCGTCTCCATTGCGATGAGTGCGGGGTGGTGTGCCGCGCTGTATCATGAAGAAAAAGAATGCATGTTGTGCTCAGAGTGCACACAAAACGAGAGGGGCAAAAGGAAGCACGCATTCGCCGAGCGTCCCCCCATCAATCGAGGGCATAAGTAGCGAGCCTAGCATGACGGTGGATTAACACGAAACAGGAACCTCAACAGTATAGGTTTGCGGGTGGCATGCGACGTCGAAGCCTGCTGCAGCTGTGTCTATCGAATGGTTGATGTCATGAATTGCTTATTGTCTGCATCGTGATTGGGTCGGCATCGCGCCGTCCGTTCGTTTTTTCAGTGCCGCGGGTTCGCAGATAGCAAAACACGTGCATCACTTGCAATGACCTTAGAGACACACAAATTCTACTTTGCCATATTCTAAGAAGTCCGTTTCTCGATTCTTTCATCCTTTCGTCATTCCTTCTGTATTGTGGTCACCCTTTGGTTTCCGCTTGCCCTACACCAAACACGGAACACGAAGGCGGGATGCCAACGCCTTGACGTAATTTACTCATCTCAAGGCAAGAAGATGCCAGCGATGCGGGTAGCTGTCATTGGTGCAGGGTATGCCGCAAAGCTATCTCCAGATCAATAAGCTGTGGTTAACCATTCTGACAGGCCAGGCGGCCTGGTGACTCTGAAAACCCTCCTTGAGGCTTCCACTCCTGAAAGACCTATTGAAGTCTGTCTGTTTGAAGCGTGAGTAGTGGCCTCTTGCGTCCATTCTGGCACCTCTGTACCGTGCTGCCATTTCTCCACTATCCCCGGATTGAGTTGTCTTGGCAACACCCTTCCTTCACTTAGTCTGACACTTTTGCAGCGAGGAAGATATTGGAGGCACCTTCCAATACCGCTCCTACGAAAATGCAGAGCTCGTGAGCTCCAAGCAGTGAGTGGACCTTAAGAGTCTATTCACATGTCGGATTGACACTTATCTACTAGACTCACCTCGTTTTCAGATCATAGGTTCCCGTTAGAGACCCCAGATCACATCTCATTGCCTCAGTATGTCGACTATCTTAAATCATACGTGGACCGATTTGATCTTGCGCCATTTATCAAACTTGGGTGCCGCGTAAGTAGGATTACGCCACTCGCCCAGTCTTCAACTAAATGGAAGCATCGCGTTCATTACCTAGATGGTCGAATTGGAGGCAAGGAGCGAACCTATGACTGTAGTGAAATCGCCATTTGCACTGGACTCCACGTAGAACCAAACATTCCCATCATTCCAGGAATTGAGAATGTAAAAGGAGAAGCATTCCACTCATCTCAGTACAAGCGCCGTTCTCAGCTTACAGGCCGAGATGTACTCGTCTTGGGGTGCGGGGAGACTGCCATGGGTAAGACGTCACTACCGTCAGTACAATGACTCTCTGACATACCGTACAGACATTGCGTACGAAGCCATAAAGGCAGATGCCACGTCTGTCACCATGTGCTTTCGGACCGGATTTCTATCATTCCCGAAAGCATTGAGTCGATTCAAAGTATTCGGCAAACAATTCAAAGGCGGTCTCCCAATCGATGGACTCATCACCAATCTCTTCGAGACAGCTTACGTGCATCACGCTATAGCGAGGAGCAGACTTCGCTGGTTCGTATCTGACTTCGTGATCAAACGTGTCTTATGGTTCCTCACTGGGACGCAAGCGGGAATGAACCAGCATGTTGGCGGACTTCCTCAAGACCGGCTCGGGAGAGCCTACGTGTTTCTCAACAAGAGCTCCAAGGCCATGCCATATCTCAACCGACCATATCAGGAGAAACATCCTCTTGCTTTCTTGGGAAATGGATATGTTGATCCCCCAGAAGATGCCAACTCGAAGAAATGGGTTGATACATGCAGTTTCCCAGAGCAAATTGACGAGACAGGAAAAGTCATTTTCGAGGCACGACCGGACCGAAAGGACTGGAGAAGGCTGAAGAACGCGGCAGTGAGACCCAACTGCGTGGTCTATTGCACGGGGTAAGCTGTTCCCGATTTCCAAACCCGATCTCTAACGCAAGCTAATGGATTGTCTAGCTACAAGCAGGTCTTCTCGTGGCTTGACCAATCTTATCCTACAGCATCTGACGCCAACGTAAGGAATATCATCAACTCTTCTCATCCTGATATAGCCTTCATCGGCTTCGTAAGACCTGGTGTAGGCGCAATTCCACCAATTGCCGAACAGCAAGCCATGTGGTGGACTGCCCTGCTTCTCGGTCGTATGGAAGTGCCGAAAGACCCGCCTCATTACCATCTTCTCGCACGTAGGGATGGCCGAATTCAATATGGCGTCGATCATAGCGCCTATATGAGCACGCTGGCAAAAGACTTTGGGGGCGCACCAGGACTCTTCGAGCTAGGTCGAACACATGGGCTACGTATCTTACTGACATACTGCTTTGGTGCTTCTTTCGTTACCTTTTATCGGCTCATGGGACCGTTCAAGTCTGCAGATGCCCCACATATCGCATCGACTGAATTGGCGGAAACAATCACCCGCCGCGGGATGCTAGGTAACCTCTTCTTTGGCATTATCCCAATGGTATTTTATGGCCTTCTCAATGGTATCGCCTTGACACTTGAGGTATTTGGGTTCATACCAAAGGAGGTTACTGTATGAGCAATCCTAGGAAAAATAATGCAGGATGACTGCGGGATGAATGAATGCCTCCAACAATTCTCGTTTCTTTCTAGTTATTGAGTCTGTCAAATCCGTTTCACAACTCTCCTGTCCATCTTCACCCTCGCAAAAAGTACGAACATGCTTGATGCAAGAGCAATCCCGCCAGCCTTCGGATGTCAGTGAATAAGAAAGCACAACATGAAAGTAAACTCACATAGAAGATAGCCGGCCGATAAACATTAATTTTCTGCCTCCCTCCATCTTCCCTTCCCCCACCCGCTTGCAGCAAATAACCAGCAATAGGTGCTCCCATAAGGTAGCCTCCTGTCCAACCCGTCACCGCCATCCCCATCGCCACAGCCGCGCGACCCGGCCCGAACATGCTTGCTACGACCGTAGGTAAAGTCGTGAAGAACGACCCATTTGCCACACCATTTAACATGGCGAAAACAGCCAAAGGCCCTAAGGCGTCCGAGACCGGCCAAATTGCTAACATACTTACCGCGTTCAGCAACATAGTGATAAGAAACATATTCACAGGCCCAATTTTATCACACAGCGGGCCAGCCAGAAATCTCCCCACCGCATTACACGCATTGAACCCTGCGACTAATCCTGCACCCGTACTCGAACTCAATCCAATAGACTGCGCGAACAACGGGAGAAAATACGGGGGAACAAACAGCGCAAAGGTGCCTACCGCCCCAGCCAGAAAAACAGCAATAAATGGCACTGAGCGAAACATCTCCAGATCAACAAATGGTGCGTTCCGAAGCGGCACACGATCTTTCAATAACCACGCTGCAGGGATACCGGTACTAAAGGTAAGAAGCCCTTGGATCCGAAACGTCCATTCGATTCCTACGCGTCTAGCCAGCGCATCGAGTGAGACAGCCATGACGGTTCCGCCGATACCGCCGCCAAGTTTGACAAGCCCGTTCGCGAGACCGAGTTTCCCGCTAAAATATTGCACCGGCACGGCGTTGGAAACAGCGTAGACGAGACACATGCCTATACCCGCGAGAAACCCACTCGTGCCGAATAACCCCGCTACATTACTCGTCGTGAATCCGCTTCCGATCAAGCCAGCGCTCATGATACTAATGCCAAGCAAAGCCGTCGTCCGGGAACCCAGCCACCGCATTAGACGAACTGCGAAGAGGCCAAATGCAACTCCACATGCGAGACCAAGTGATCCAACGAATGAAACTGTGGAGGTAGAGACTTGGCGGAGCGTACTATCGAGGAGAGCTGTTTGGAGAACACCCCAGCAGTTTATCATTCCGTTAAACCAGAAGGTGAGGAGGGCGCAGGAGAAAACGATGGTCCAACCATAGCCACCATCTGGGATCGCAGTTGTAGAGTATGCGGACTCTGGGGGTTCATTGGATAGTGTGTTGGTGGGAGGGGAGCTGCTGGTGAGGGTGGAGAGTTCGAGGCGTTCTTCTGTCTGGGTTGACATGGTGCGGGATGGCGGTGTAATGGTGACTGAACCGACTTGATATAGATGGGAGGATAGAGCTGGTTGAAAGTTTGGATTTCTCTACATCATTTGCAAGTGTTTTAGGCTAGTGCTGACAAGGGCGTGCTGCGTTGCCAATAAAGGTTAGTGTGGATAAGCACGTGAGAGGAGTGTGTGGTAACATTGCTTATGTGCCAAGAGTGCAGGATAATGTTAACAGTGTAGGAAAGGAGTAGAAGACACATAAGAAACTAGGTATTTATGCAAGCATTAAACAAGACATATAGACCAAATAGGTATTAGAAAGGTGTCGAACACCCTACATAGAATTACCAATCCCAGCAGGACAACTGCACCTAGTATCCCCTCTAACAAAACAAAAAGGAAGGCGTCTTAGAGAGTAACAGTAACACATGTTCGCGCATTACCGAATTTATGAGCCTACTTTGTTCTACAACATGTGCTGTAACTAACTTGAAAGTAAGGGATAGATAAGTCGAGTAAGACTGTACAAGTGGATTATACCGTTTATCCCTGTATTCCAGCTTTTTCTTGTCCATTTGGAGCCATTGCCTCAGTGCTCTGCTCCTTTATCTGCTACCTTTAGCAGCCAGAAGGTTTCCTATTCTTTACTAAATCACGACACAAACAGAAAGCGGGGTGGGGATAATTTTGAGCTGTTGCTATTGAAGTCCGTATTCCTAAGGCTTCAGACATTAGATGAAGGCAAGCTAAGGAGCTGAATCGTAAGTGCTGGTAGTGACTAGCTGATAGCCTTAGGGAATATCTAGTGAGAGTCTGCGAGAAAATAAATGGAGGTTGGCATGACAAATATGGTCTTCCATGACATATTAACTGTGTGGGTTGGCATTGTGTGGAGATAAGAGCACGAGGACCTTAGCAAATGACAGAATGTATCTCCTGCCTTCAGTGTCAAAGGACACTGGGGAAAACTAGGGAAAAGGAAGTGGGTGGGAAATTTTATTTATATTTTGGGCATGGTTGTTTAGTCGAAAGATGCGTTCCCCAGACCGCACGCTTATTGTTCCTGGCGGGTGGATAATTGTAGCACATGGATAAGAAGTGTTGGCAGTTTAACTAGTGACACTATATCTACAGCTATTGACAGCCGGGCGGAGGCTATCTGTAAAGCTGTGTGGTAGTGTAACGGAAGAGTGTGTGTTGATGATGGAGCCTCTAGGGTAGCCATGATACATAGTGAAGTATAGGCACTAGTAGATAATGGCTTGGCCTGGTTACAATATCACAAGGCAGAAACTGGGAGCTGTCATCTACCCCCTTTGAAGTCCATATAGGTCCTGACTGCCCCTCCAGATTCAAAGACTAGCAGGCTCCTCCAAGTACCAGTAGCAGTAAAGGGCAGTTTCCGATCATCATAGACGCAGAGCTGCTAGTACCATAACCTATCCGTCAACGAAGAGCTCAGGAAAGCTTCCAGGCCTTTAATCGTCGTATCCTACAGCGATATATTCAAGGCTAGCTCACATGAGGTCCAAGCTCCGTACTTTTGCGGCTGTTGTCGGGCTGTTTTGGAGACTGTTCATTGTTCCACATATCGAGGGGCGCCAGAACACGTGTTACCGTTTGAATTAACGATCCTTGGGGCTGTATGAAATTGATAGGCACTAACGGCACGTTAATCCGTGCCGATCCATCGAAGGGCTTCACTACTGGGGCGTTTCTGGTTGGGCTAATTTTGGAGCAGTCCTATCCCGAAAAGCAGTCGAAGAGAAGCTCGATCCAACCGGGAACGGTCAGTGGAAGGAAAATAAGAAGGCGCCGGTGATCAACGATGAATAGGATGAGATGCTTTTCGCACAGGAGCAGCCAGATTTCGAAACCCATCTCTCCAATTTTCTAGCTTAGAAGTTTAACGAGAGCAAGCTGACCGCGGCGTTCTGGCGAGTAGCAGGTTTAAAATCAATTCGGGATGACCGAATCGCGTGCGACGAAAGTCTAAAGGATGCTGGCATACCAATGAGAATAGACGTGTATCTTGGGAGTGCTCGTTCGATTTGGCCTTTCTCCCCCTACCTTTCAATGTCGAAGGCAACAGTCGACATTGGCTTGGATGCTGAACGCGAAGGTGGATTGGGAGGAGGTTCTGAAGAAGATGTAGATTCCCATCATGCAGTAAGGATGGGATTTTTCTTGGGCACAACAAAGATAGACCTGATGAGAAGACTAGGACAGCGATGGTGGAGATGTGGCGGATCATCAGGATGCAGGCCATGCGAATTCCGAGGCCTGTGCAGCGACATGTGACTTTGACGGCATAAGTCTTGGCGCGTGTCGCGGGCAGAGGGACTCAGGCCCAAGCCACAACCTAATTACCTCCATCACTTTAATAATTCGCTGTTCCGCATCTGAAGAATAAAGCCACCACTGGGCCCCCACTGGCTGATGCCGAATTGTTGGACGCTCAACTCTTCTGCCTCCCTGTAGTTGATCGTGCGTGCAGCTCCTCGAGCCATGTCATTTTCTAATTTCTCAAAACTTGGAAGTCGTACCTGGGCGAATCAGCTGAGACGTGAAACGCGTCGAGTTCCTTGCACTTACCCGCCATGTCATCATCCTTGAGGGGCATTGAGGGGCATATAAGATTGCATGATTAGATGGACTGACCTCCAAGCACCTGTTCACTTACACAGCCAGCAACCAACGGTCCTTTGACATCGACCCACCAACAACCACACACAAGGAACAGACGTCATGGCCACCGCTGAGACTGTCGAGCTCTCCGAGCCCCATGCTCCCAAGGAAGCGTCCATCCACTCGTTCGAATCCATCCTCACGTCGCTGAAGCACGAGCTCGTCAAGCTTCGACATAACCATGACAGTAAGCTCCCCCTACATCCTTCAGCTCAGCCTCACATGTGCCGACTGTCACTCACACCATCGTAGAGCATGAACCCGAGTACTTCCGCGCTGTGTCCTCGCTTTCTGACTCCGACCTGACTTCCTTTACCCCCGCTGATGTCGAGACGGTCCGCGTGGGAACCTCGGCCTACGGCTTACACTTGTTCGGCAAGGTCAGGATCCCCGCGGCCGAAAACGCCTATATCCATGTCCGGGTGTTTATTGCGGCTGAGGACGGCACCGATGGAAGTAGCGAGGAGGAGAGGGTCGCGAAGCTGCACTGTATCCACACCGAGGAAGTCGTGAAGGATGATGGCGATCACGTATACCGCGCTATTTTCGGGAAAAATGATGAGCTGGAGTGGTTTGACACTTAATTCTGGATACCCTTAGCTGAGCGTCTCTCGGCTAACCCTCTATACTCTGATTAATAAATCTTATGGGACCTCATTTGCCAAAATGTCGTCCACCTTCATTATTCAGTCCTCAGTCACCGCTTACGCAAACTTCTGGTTCATGTTAAATAGATTCGCGTCATTGACTATGCCGTATCCATCCCCGCAAGACTCCCTCATCATATGCGGAGAGAATCTATGCTGTATTGCGCTAAGCGTCGTTGCTCTCGCACATTCGCTCGTTAAATATCCACAGATGATCGTGGGGTCTATGCTTATGCTAGCCAAGAGACTTGTGAGACTCGTTCTGGAAAAGCTACAGCTGTTCTGGTTATATATAGTAACTTTATCCTCATACGGAACGATACCTTAAGCGAAATCGTACATTAGATTACCTTCGTTATAGTAATTTAGAATGGCGGGAAGTTCTGAGTATACCATTTCCCTGCCGCTTAGACCTAGAGCTGAGCAAGAGTCTTATACGAAGGATCCTTGTGATGCTGACCTTTGCTATTGTGACCAAAGGGAACATCACAAACACTTTCAACCCGCGACACCTCTCGATCACGGGAATCATGCTTTCTCGAGCCCGATCGAAGCGCTCTGTGGTATACAACACGCACCCCAGCGTTCAACATCTCTTGACTGCATCAATCACAACAAGAGCTAGCTTATTTCCGAACTCGGCGTGGTCCATTCCGGGCAATGCGCATAGCTGTCTACCTAGTATTCAACCATTGCCTGTTCCAGGGATTTTTCCACTCATACCGATGAGGTCCTTGTACATCTCAGGCATGCCCTTTCATGGATAGTTATCTTTTAAAATCATCCCTTTCTCAATTATGCACGCATTGCAATTTTATGGGGGCAACCTTGTTCCTATCTTAATGGATTTGCCTATCACTTGAAAAATGTTACTGATACAGCCAGTGATCCTTGTTTCGATGTCAGTTCCCCTGGCTTTGCTTGACATCGGGTTCGCAACTACAGAGCTCACAACACATTCAAGCCGGCCGAAGAGTTCAATACGACCTCAATATCTACCAAGCTGGGTAGGACAAATTGCAGCTTGAACGTCTTGCATGTGCTTAAAAAGTGTAGGAAGGATTACAGTCAGTATTGCCTCTAGCTGAGTTCCTGCTTTCACGTAATTGAATTCACGTACTCAGACCTGTTCATATGCTGTTCGTGGAGACCTATGGAATGGAGCAGTTGGGACCTCTCGGCATTCTTTTTTGCATTCACCACGTTCCGTATTAAGGAACACTCTTATAACTCTCACAAGTCCTCTGGCACATTAACCCTCTTTATGATATTGTTCATGCAGTCCTAATATGAATTTATAGTGATTGTACTCATGGAACACTGGAAAATTGCCCACATCCTCTTCACTCTCCTTGGTCTAATCAACAGCCTCATTCCTGGCGTCACATTAATGGCAGGAGGGGGTGCCTCTACGAACTTCCTCGCAGGCAAAAACATCTGAGCTTTGTGCTGGATCTTGCTTATAATCATCACAAATACATTACCGTCGACGGACTTCGATCAACCTTCATCTTCAACTTCATAGTCCAGATCTATGCAGTAAATCTTGATGTCAGTTCTCCTTCTAGTTTCCAACGAGGTATTAATTTACGATTGGCGATTTTGACGCCTGTACGGGTGAGATTTTGTGTACGTATCACAACTGTTATAGCTTACATGATCTGTACAAGCCATACAATGTAATTGTAGTATGCCGTACTCTAGTTAAAGCTGCTAAGATTATAGATCTCTAGAGTAAGCAGGATAAAGGTTAGTAGAACTACTAGATAACCAATTATCCGTAGTATCATAAACAGAGAGGTCTAAAGGTTCACTGCTTACTACCTTTGCAGCACCTTAAGAGCCTTGCCCATGGTCTAACAGAAGATCTAGAGCAGGCTACCTTTCCATTTTGCGGCTAGTCTTCAGCCATGGATAGCGTACTATCACGGAATGAAGCAGAAGACTCAGTGTAGAGTGCCCTCGACTTCTGAAGCCTACGAGACTACGCAAATGGACAACAGAGGTATCTAATCAACTAGATGAGGCTTGTAAGGCAGTAAGGTGCGGGGATAGGTATCTTTGAAAGAGTAAATAGTCAGTAATAGGCATAAATTAAGATGACCTTGCATCTAGGCAGAAGTCACTGACGGTTATTAGAGTCCAGTGCCCGTAGATAGTATTGCAGTCAGCCCGTTGATGACCTTCGATATCTACAATGCGTACATTAACCCTCGTGCTTCAGTCAAGGCAATTCTCTGGGGTTCCACTGCTGGTCTTGTCACCTACGGATCCGTACGGTACCGCATTATTTAGAATATCGTGCATTTCCATGTAGCTGGTGTCTTACTCGACTGTCAGAATAGTATCCCTATGAGTACTTGTTTGTTCTCTTTGTAGGTCACTGACTAATTAGTCAATATGCCTGTTTGCTTAGTGACGGTGCTGTTCCCGTGGTCCTCTAGATCATACCTCAACCTTAGCTGCCATCGTTGTACCCACCCCCGACCTCTGTCTGGTCTCATCTCTTGAATGGCCGTTACCAAGGTCCGCTCTGGAGCCGTCAAAACTTCCACACCAGGCGACGTCTACAATAGCCTGACTATGAACTTCTGTAGTCTGGGAATGGGGCTCGCTTGCATTATTGCTTTTTGCTTCCTTGCCCCTGGAAAAAAGAAATCCGTCTAGATCATCGATGGCGAAGAAGCAGAAGGGTCGGCTATCGAAGAATATTCATTAGAGATGCAAATCAAGGAGGGAGAAACCCCTCTGACGTCCACACAGTCCTCCAATCCAGCATGGCCAAACCCCTTAAACTTGCGGGAGTGGGTGAGCTTTGTGATTTTTGTACTATGGGGGAGTAAGAACATTATGTCGAATATTGTCGGTGCGATGTCGAGGGATCTAAGCAGGAGGAAGGTACTTCAGACGGAGTAGATTGGGCTTTGGGGTTTTGGAATAGGATAGTATTTTCAGATGAATGGCTTTCTGGAGATAGATTTATCAACGTTACTCGACCCAGAGCTTCTTGCGAGGTCTAACTGTCGTGTGGGTTTCGTTCAAACATCGCAAGATACCCGCTTCCATCTACCCTATAGCTCTAAGAAAATGCCAGGCTCCCGCATAATTTAGACTACATATTCAGCTTCTAATGGTGCAATAGACAGAAGGCCAGTGGGAGAGGAAGAAAACAGGTTGCTTGAAGTTAATACATTGTGGCTGAAGCACTGGGCTGGAGTGTCCAATCAACGGATTGATCCGAGCCTTCTCAAATTAGGCTAGGGCTAAAGTATGCCTTGCTCAACTCAACTCTTCCCAGCTGACCTGCATCCTCTACGACGCCCCAAATACGCCAACAGGCTACTTTCAGACTACAGGGTTTGGCCCCGCCAGGGTTCTGGATTGCGGAAACCTGATCCTACGGCGGACTGTTAGCTGGTGAAGGGAAAAAACTAATCGCCAATTTGAAAATTCTTTACCCCGCACGTAATTATAGCCTTTAGCTACTTACAACTTTATAATTATTTTATACACGTTTATACATGTTAATTTTATAATGCCTAGTAAGCGTCTTCTAAATAGTTACATTATACAAGTGCTTACTAATATAGTGGCGACGTAGGAGGACGTCCTAAGATCAACCTTGAACTGTACTAACTCCATCTACTTAGGCTTTTCTATAAAGGTGTTACATACGCGCAGATGGCTACTTACCTTCTTAAAGAGTTTTAAGTCTGTGTTACTTCTTATACAATTAAGCAGCAGTTCTAAACATAGAATGTAAGGCAACGCCTTCCTGCTAAGGTTAAGGATAGAGTTAAGAATTAGATCTAGGTGCTGTTCTTTAAGGTTAGGCTTAAAGATTTAGATATGCTTTATGTACTACATAATAAAGGCTTCTAAATTAGAAAATATACGCTTGTACAACTTTAATTTAAGCTTAGATTACGCAGAAGAGTGCAAGGTGTTAAACAGAGCTAGCAAGCAGATAAGCTTGTACAACAACTTGTTGGTCAAGAGCTAGAGAAAGGTGTTATTAATAGGTATAGGCAAGGGTATCTTTATACACACTTTTGTCAACGTGGCTATATTATTGCACAGGACTAGTTATTTCGCATCTATCGTACAATGAACTATGAGGCAGTAGAGCGCCGCAAGCGCGACCTGCAGCGACACTGTGGGGAGTATATTGTTCCTAGCCTAAACTTTATCTAGTCTATTAATAGCTATAGTAAGCTGAAACCGTACAGCGTAGAGATCTATGCATGTATTGACGCGTACTCACGATACATTGTATGGATTTATGTTAGAATCTCTGCCTGCACTGCTGTTAGCTGCCTTTGCTAGTTTCTTAAGACACTTAAAGAAACAGAGCAGCAACCACATTTTATACAATCTAATTAAGGGATAGAGATAGTTATGCTAGTAGATGCTTATTACTAGCTTTAAAGGTTTGCAGAGCCTAAGCTTCTATTTAATTAGTGCTACCTCTACAGCATAAGTATATTAAATTAGCAGATTAAAGCTTAGTAGCAGCAACTCTTAAAGGGCCTTCTCTTTTGTTAGTAAGTTAGTATTTTGTACAATACCTATTACCCTATCTTACTTTAAGCAGGATTACTTCTACTACCTTTAGACCTAAGGCTTCTTCTTAAAAGATAGCTTAGCTAATTAGCTTGCTATCTATGCTATATATATTCCTATACTTTGTGAGGAACTATATAGCTTCGTACGACTATGGAACGCACATTTAATTTAAAGGCAGAAGAACTGTCTAAACGGCGTAGTTGGGAAGCCTTTTATGCTCTATCACTATCCTGGAGCCCATGTCTAGAACTAGGCTCTTTTATTTAATGCTAATTAGCTTTGTACAATTAAGAGAAGGGTTAACAGTTAGGATATAGATGCCTACCTCCCACAGGATACGCTTTAGTGGTGCAATGGGGTACTGGATTTGCTTGGATTTGACAGCGTAGCTGCAGCTTGCTCTAACTTTTAGGATTGTATAACACCATATCTAGATGTTTATCTTTAGCTTTAAGCAAAAGCATAATACTATATCTAGAACAGTCTTTAGCCTGTACTGTCTCTGCTTAAGTCACCTGTTAAAGCGTAGAATTAGCAGGTAAGGTTTTATATAATGTGCTTAATATAAGAGTATCTAATTTAACTAGGGTAATTAAGACACAGTTTAAGATGTTAATCTTAAAACTAACCCTAGTAAGGAGATGCCTATTAATCCTAATCTAGCTTAGTAGATTCGCGTAGATGTAGTGACTAAGCCTCTATCCTTCCTACAGTATGTTTAAATTTTCTATAGTTTCTTCTTTAGTTCTTTCTTTAGTTCTTTTCCTTGTACAACGTACAATCTATTGTCACTATAAGTGCCTAAGATAAGTTTTGTCCTACTACAGGACAGTCTTATAGTAAGTAGTCTGCTAAATACAAGTTTTGTCTAGACTATAGCGTTTAAATTTAACCTCTTACACCTACATAAATTATACAAGACAAAGAAGAGATAATCTGTCTAGAGGATACACCTAAGAGCGCAAAGAAAGGAATGTTTATCTCTTCTGTACAAGCTGCTTCACGTACACCAGCAGAATTAGCACGTTAGTAGTTAATCTAGCGTACATCTTCGCTTCCTGTTTAAGGCTATACAACAGCTAAGCTCTCTATTCTTGTGATCCTCTGCTTTATACAATATAAGGTGATTAATAAGCGTAAGCGAATTAATAGTATTAAACAGCCACGTACAATACCCTCTTGTATATTAGCTAATATCTAATACATAGTAGATTAGACCTAGATACAGCTTTAGAACGCGCCTCTTATAAGCTATACTAAGTTTGTTAAGAACAGCCTCCTTAAAGAGCTTGTACAATTTAATTCCTTAATTACTAAAGGCTATTCTAAACTATATCTTGTTGCAGATGTTAGCAAAGATTATGTCACACATCTTCTAAAAAGTGCTAAGAATTATTGTACAATTAAGGACTTGCTAGAAAGTGGATACTTTAAGAAGGGCAACTAGGGCACAACTCTGTACCTAGTATATAAGGCAACTATAGTAGCTTAGGATAAGATCTTTTTATACAAACCCCCTACTAAGCAGACTAAGGTTAAGAAGGAGAAGAAGCTAGCAAAGGGGAAGAGGGTTAAGCAGGAATCAAGCTCTGTTAAAAATAAAGAGGATAGAGAAATGCTTTTGTACAATTGTAAGCAGGCACTGTCTTAGCTATCTGATGTTAATTCTCAAGTGCCCTATCAGCTTTGCAGTATTAAGAAGTAGTATGTCTTGTACAATAATTTAATTTATTTCTTCTATCTACTAGCCTAGTTTAGTTTTACTGTTTAACAGCTACTCGTCCCAGTCACCGCGCAGAGGTACAGGCCTTAACTAAGTGCTACGGACATCCCCACATAGCTAGGTGCCATAGACAACCCCTATGGCTAGGGCGCCCCACTGCCCTTAAAAGAAATATTGTACGTACCTTAAGCCAGAACTATTGCATTATCAGCTAAAGCCCTAGCAGGTTCATCCTCAATAAGGATAGGCTGCCACCGCGAACCGTCACCAGCACTACTAATCCCTGGGTTGTAGCCTAAACGCAGAGGTCTACTAGCTGGCTTATCATCACCCCCTTCTCTTACAGAGCAGCAACTAGCATGGTCACGCCATTTGCAATTGCTACATGCTCCGCCAAAGTGCCCCTCAGCGCGGCGGCACTCTGGGAACGGTCGTGGGCCCGAGACAGCGCCATGGCATGCGCTGCACAGGTTGTCCACTGCCCTTCCGCGAGATTGTATGAGGATGGCGTTGATGTACGAAGGCCTGTGCGAAGCTATTTGATAAGGGGATATACTGCCATATATAAACTCCACATCCTGCCCTGGAAGGGCTAGCAATGCACGGGCCTGTGGACTATGAGCCAGTGGGGCCAGCTGCTGCTGTCCTACATGTAGGACGGGATTGACATTGGCGCCGGCTTGGTTGGCAGCGGCGACGGCGGCATTGTAGAGAACAAGAGCCCTATTTTAAGTGTTAGCTTTGTACGACAAGAGCGATTAGGATACTGCAGGCTTGATGCCTACATTGTTGTTGTTGTTGTTGTTGTTGTTGTTGCTGCTGCTGCTGCTGTTGCTGTTGCTGCTGTTGCTGCTGTTGTTGCTGTTGTTGCTGTTGTTGCTGTTGTTGTTGCTGCTACTGCTGTAGTAGTGGTGGATGTGGAAGAGTGGTGGTGGCGGTGAGTATCTACAATTATCGTACGACGCCGTAGTGAAGGCAGTCGCCATGGAGGGCAGTCGCGATACAGTCACGTGAAACGACCCTTCACTCCTTAGATCTTTAAAAAACATCGTACAAATGCGTTATGGTATGTTTTGCCTAGTAAAATACTATAGTGTTTCATACCCAAAATGCTCCTAAGCGATTGGCGATTAGTTTTTTCCCTTCACCAGCTAACAGTCCGCCGTATGATCCCATGCCCCTGGAACGTCAGGATCGTCAGCAGCTTCCAATCACACGTACGGCGCACGTCATTGAGTCTTGAAGGGTGTTGTGGCAGCCAATGGTGGCTATGTGGAAAGCCAACTTCCAAAACCATTTACTTCCGCTGAGACTTGTCTTTATCAATAGCAACTTGTAAGTTGTACGACGCTCTGACCATCAGTTTATGCAGATCATCTCTACACTCTCATTGCCATCGAGTCACCCGACGCGACGTCGTTCCAAGCGGAGACATACAGCTTTGACAATAGTCCAAAAAATAAGAAAGTCCGATCTACAGAGTATGGCCACGTAAGATGCAAGCGCGGCGCTACGCCCACCCAATTAGTATAGATCTCCGCGCCTCCGCGCCACCAACCTAGGCCCGAGGGGGTAGTCAAACCCGACGATCTCTATCAAAAATCAACGACTAATTCACTTAAAAGCGTTAAGAGCTTGCTAAGCAATAGATTACAATAAATGTAGTGTACAGAGTAGCAACAGAGGGGCTTCTAAAAGAGCTAAAAACAGTGATATTAACCTAATACCTTGTAGAACCCTCTATATTGTTAATGACCTCTATTAAGCGCGCAGGCATACTCTCTACTAAGTTTATAACAAAGTGCTGCTTAAACTGTTAAATTAATTCCCACTTATGTTAGATAGCGTTGTACATCTCTCTCTAAGAGGTAAGTTGTTAGGGGAGTCAGTAAATACAACGCTTAATTTCTTTTTATACATGTTTAATTAGATTAAGATCGCATAAAGTAGGTGGCTACTCTATAAGGGGAACAAAAGCTTGTATAGCAGTCCTAGTAGCAATAGCTTAGTAGGCAGGGGCATTGTCTTGTTAAAAGATAATGTAATTTAGTTCTTTGTAAGCCTTATACATCTTGCGCATCTCTAGGACAAAATTGTGTACAACCTTAATGTAAGGACAGGGCTCCGCACCACTCCGCTAATACAACTAAAAAGGTGCGAATAATCAACCAACGTTAATTATTGCGTACAGAATAGTATATATACCTGTTGTACGTAAGCACCATCTCGGCCTTACACGTAAGCGCCATCCCGGCCTTACACTTAATCTAATTAGTATAAGCATTTATAGGGAAAGGAGATTAGAGACTTACAGGGAGAACATTTGTAATGTAACTGTTTACAGTAATAGTACTATAGTTGTTACAGCTCCACTTAAAGAGAGGGCTAAGGTACTGCCCGCAGAGCTGGCCATGTACGTGATGAGCGTCCCCTGGGTGGAACCTAGGGACCTGGCAATCAGGGAGGTGCTCCTCCCCTAGCTGTCTTGTAACATATACTCTCTCCTGCTTACCTACATAAAAAGCAGACTTATTACTAAAGATTACATGTTTCTACTAATTATAGTCCTACATAATATACTCCTCTGCAAACTGTAGGCGCTTTATGTAGGTAATCTTAGAGATGTATAGCTTCTTGTATGCAACTTAATAGTGGAAGCCCTTAAGCTTAAGAGCTCTCTTAAGTGTACGCTTACTTACAGTAAGCCTAAGATAGTTGCACAGAGCTCTATACGTCATACAGCGCTTACTAGGAGAAGACCTAACAACCTCTACTATACAAGCTCTCTTAGGAGTATTAACTTTCCTAAGTCTTACTTAATTAGCTTGTAGAGTTAATCTCTCCTTTAACTACTAGTAATTAGTAGCTAGAATGTAGATAGCAGTTACTGCATGTACACAACAACTAACTATAGAGATATAAAGTAACATCTTTGCTCTAATCTAAGTAATTAACTATCTAGAGTTAATGTCACGATTGTGCACGAGTAAGGTTATAGAGCTTCACGGAGGTCTAGTTTAATTACTATGTAAGGTATTATAGTAGGTATAAGACGTTGTGTGAGAAATAAGAAAGTTTAAAAAGAAATTAGTAATTAAATACTTAGCTTAAAAGTCTAAGCGCTTTAAGTATAAATTAAGCCTATTTTAAGTTTAGTTAGTGTTAAAGTAGTTTATACTTAAGTTTATATCTATGTTATGTTATATTTATATTAGACATGCACTAATAATACTCTAGTACACATCTAATACAGTTATGTCTAGGATCTAGGGAGGATACTGTAACAGTACCCCCCTCTTATTAAAAAGGGAATCCTTTACATTAGTAGTTCTAGCATTAGGTTGTTTTTGTTAGGGTATAAGTTTAGTTTAAATAAGTATTAGGTGTAGAATTAAGTTACTATAAAGTTTTTTTATAGAGCTTCTACAGGTTCCTATAACAGTTTATTATATCTAGTTGTCACGATTGTGCACGAGTAAGGTTATAGAGCTTCACAGAGGTCTAGTTTAATTACTACGTGAGGTATTATAGTAGGTACAAGACGTTATGTAAGGAACAGGAAAGTTTAGGAGGAAATTAGTAATTAAATACTTAGCTTAAAAGTCTAAGCACTTTAGGTATAAATTAAGCCTGTTCTAGGTTTAGTTAGTGTTAAAGCAGTTTATACTTAAGTTTATATCTATATTGTGTTATATTTATGTTAGATGTGCACTAATAATACTCTAGTACATGTCTAATACAGTTATGTCTAGGATCTAGAGAGGATACTGTAACAGTACCCCCCCTCTTATTAAGAAGGGAATCTTTTACATTAGTAGTTTTAGCATTAGGTTGTCTTTATTAGAGTACAGGTTTAGTTTAGATAGGTATTAAGTGTAGAATTAAGTTACTGTAGAGTTCTTTTGCAGGGCTTCTGCAGGTTTCTATAACAGTTTATTATATCTAGTCTATTTTATAAGGTATTTATAGGTATGTTTTTTTTTATTAAACTAAATTTATTTAACGTCTTTTACAACATATTCTAGTTTATTATTTATAATAATAGGTTTAGGTAGTAGGTTTAGCTGTCTAGGTAGATAGTTAGATTTAAAGGCTGCTTAGCGCAGTAATAATACATAGAACACAGGGTGTATCTTTATGCTGTTAGGTAGAATTAATTAGTAAGCATGTAATAAGACTATATAAGCTACTATAAAAGGGCTAAGGTTTTTTTAATTAAGTTTTTTTAATTATTAGTTTATTTAGATATTTCTAGCGTCTAGCTAGACCTTCTTGCTAGCTGCATACGCAGGGGCAGAGGTTTAAGATTAGTTTACATACTCTTATTAAAAAGCTTAAGCCTATGTAAGCTTTTTATAAACATATTTAGATATATTTTAAATCTTATTAATAAGTCTATTTACATCTATTACTTATATAAATTAATAAGTTAGTTAGAGGGTATTTAAAAGTAGTTTAAATTCTATTTAGAAGTAGTATCTATAGTTTGCTAAAAACAAAGATACTTATATTAATTTAAATGTTATATTATTAGCTTTAAACTATGCTATAGCTAACTATTTTACCTAGTTATTTTACTAATAGTTTATGTATACTTATAGAACTTATTTTATTACAGTGTTTACATTTTTAGTCTAGCTATTAGTTTCTAGGTAAAAAGCTGTAGATAGATAAAGGATAATTTAAAGCTATTTACAAAGTTTGTCCTAGAAGGCTAAGACAAACTGCATACCTCTATCTAATATAATTGTGTTAGGCAGGCTATAGTAAACCTATATGTATTAGTAGAATAACTAGGCTATATTAGGAGTAGTTATAGAGGAATATAGTATTAAGTGTTAATACTTAGTTAAGTAATTAATAACTACTATAATATTTATGTACTTTTTAGATAGAAGTAGGTCTATAATAAAATTAATTAATATGTCTTTTTAAGCTTATTTAAGGATTAGAAGCAGTTTAAGCAGGCTATTATACCTTTTTTAAGAGGCCTTTACTTTATAGTAAGTATAGCAACATAATACATATTAGCGTACTGTATAGAACATGCAGGGCTAGTAGTACTCTCTCTGTAGTAGGTTAAGAGTTTTTCCTCTGCCTAGGTGTCCTTTAATAGGCAAGTTATGTATAATTTAGAGTAGTTTAATTCTTAGTTTATTAGAATTAGAGATTATAAGTTAGTTATAGTAATATAGCTTACTATTTTAGTTTTTATAGTTAGCTAGTGTTACTTTCTTTAACTAACTAGCGCTGTTTTAGAGCAGGTTTAAAGTTTTTTAGATAAATTTATTATTTAGATACTTATTAGTAATAATTTAATTAATTATTTAATTTATTTTGTTTAGGTTAAGGTTTAAAAATAGCTTAAGTTAGAGCAAAGTTTAGTGTTAAGCCTTTTACACTTTTTCCTAAGCAGGAACGTCTTAAAATTGCCTTATAAAGGCATCTAGTTTCCCTTTATTTTAACTAGAATAATAAGTAATCTTAAAATTAAAATAAGATAGGTATTTAGACTAATAGGCTTATTAGTAGCTAAGTTATTTTATAGTTGCAAAGTACTATAAGTTCTTATAGTTAGATAGGACTTGTATTAGATGCGCTGCACCTTCTAGTTTAGGTTGCTATTATTTAAAGTAGTGTACTATAGTAAGTAATTCTTTATTATAGATTTTATAATTACTTTCTATAGGACTTATTCTTTTTAAGAAATATATAATAGGCCTAATAGTCCTGTCTAGCTTAGTCTAGAAGAGAACTTCTGCTACTACGTAGTCTAAAGCATTAGCTTTTACAAGTATTAGTAGTTTAAAGTTAAAGTAGCAGAGTATTAAGGCTTTAGTAAAGGCTTTCTTTAGCTAGTTAAAAAACTATTAGTAATTTAAGTTAAAGTTAAATTAAATTTTTTTTTTAGTAAGTATAATTATAAGGCTTACTTACTGTAAAAAGTTGTTAATAAATTATTAGTAAAAGTTAGTAAATTTTATAAAGGCTTAAACATCTTTTATATTTTTTAAGTATTACTAATCTAGCATAGTTTAAACTTTAATAGGGTCTATTTAGATGCTATCTGTAAAGATAACATATTCTAAATATGTAACCTTTAATTAGTAGAACTTGCATTTGTCTATGTTAAGTTGCAGACCTGCTTCTTCTATAGCCTTTAGCACTAAGCGTACATGCTGTTTATGCTCTAAAAGGCTATTACTATAGATTAGAATGTTATTAATATACATAGTGTAGAACATGTTTAGGTAGGGTTAGAGCAAGTTATTTATAAAATGTTAAAAAGTACTAGGCGTGTTAGCTAAGCTAAAAGGCATTACTAAGTACTTAAATAGTTTATATTAGGTCTAAAACGCTATTAGCTACTTATTACCCTTTGCTATTCTTAGCTTATTAAAGGTAGTAATAATATCTAACTTTATAAAATACTTTACTTTACTTAGTTAGCTTAGAGTTTCTTGTAAAAAAAGAATTAAGTATTAGTTTTTAATAGTAATAGTGTTTAGTTCTTAGTAGTTAATGCAGAATTAAAGCCTACCTTTAAGTTTTTTTATAAATAGTATAAGTAACACTACTAGTAAGAAGCTAGCTTAAATAAACCCTTTTTTTA